GAATGATTGCCTGCTGATGATTTTCACTACTTCACACTTTGGCAAAACCTAGTCGAAAGCGCACGGCTGCCGGTGCGAGGGTGCTTTTTTTGCACAGTTCCCCCGCAGGTTTTTTCGCCAGTGGCACGTTCTTTCCGGCAGATGCTTCTAGCTAAAAGAACTGAGACTGGCCACCACGACTGTTAGTCATTTTTACAATGACTCTCAATCCACGTTCAAAAATCCAGCTCTCTAGATGCTTCGGTTGCGGAGTTACGTCAAATTTCACGTGTTCCTGCGTGAGTGGCAAACTGAATGCTTTCTTCGCCTCCAGTTGCTCAGGCACGGTCCTGAGCAACGCTCTGAAACTTTCAGCACTCAAGCCGCCCTGGTTGCGGAGTTACGCCAAGTTTCATGTGTTCGTACGTGAGTGGTAATGTGAATGCTTTCTTTACCTGCAGTTGCTCAAACACGGTTTTGGGTAACGCTCAGAAAGTTTCAGCACTCCAGCTGCTCTGGTTATGGGATTATGTCAAACTTCACACCTGTATACGTGAGACTTACGTGAGACGTGAAGGGATGTATAAGTCGTTTTTGCGTCCGTCTGATCAAAGGCCACCATTGGTTATGCCCAGAAAGTCCCAGTCCTCTGGCTGCTTCAATTCTGAAGCTAAAAAAGTGCATGCGTGAAATTTTCACGTGTTCGTACGTGAGATGCAGAAGGGCTGGACAACTCAGTATACTTTCACGGGCACAACAGTGGACGATAAGTAATGCTGCAAAGCTGCTGCTCTCTACAGCTTAAATCTGGAGTAGGCATGATGCCAGTTTAGATTTTGACGTGTGCGAATGTGAGACCTATGGATGTGTGAAGACAGAATTTGAAATCTTTGGATTAGACGCGGCCAAAGAACATGTCTGTGGAATTTTAGCCTCCTAGCTTAAGCCGTTCCCGAAAACCCGAGAGCGTGGGAACACTGAATTTGAATTTGCAGGGCCATACTTGGGTAGGGGTTACTACCCCAAAATTTCAGTTTCCTAAATTCCGCGGTTCCTGAAATAATAATTTATTTGCCAAAAGTTTCACGAGGCCGCATGTTGTACCCGGAGGCACGAGAAAGCTGAACTTAAATTTGAGGGGCCATACGTAGGCAGAGAATAGTCACCTAAGATTTCAGCTTCCTAAATTCCGTGGCTCCCGAAATAATACTCGCCAAAACTTTTACGGGGCTGTGTGTGTTATCCGCGAGTACGGGAAGGCTGAATTTAAATTCGCAGGGTCATACGGGGGTGGGAAAGATTACCCTAAATTTTAAGCTTTTCAGTTTTTGTGGTTTTCAAGTTGGGAACTGCGCATATGTTGCTGCGGACACACATACATACAAACACATACAAAGACAAACCCATGACAATATGCGTTTTGTGCAGCAGCTGCACAGCACAAAACGCATAACAATTAGACAACCAGATTAACTAAAAGTCGCCAGAATAATTTAAATTTCACATATAATTAACTTGCAATAAGCTACAAAAAAAAAAAAAAAAACTCAAACTGTTCAGTGCGCAACGTTATGTCACCACTTTTTGAGCACTCCTCCTCTGCAATTCCATGTAACTGCACTTCGTACCCGACGATGCCCGAATAAGTGACACGTGACAAACACAATTTAACAATAAAGCGATAAATGTGTATTGCTTAACGCATTCCAGCCCGCTTAGACGGTCAAGGCAGCACGCTGCCAACATTTAGGCCGCCGGAGAATTTCTAAACTGCTCAATCGTCTCCATTGTAGCATGCACTTATTTTAAATGCATTACAACTCTTAAGAAGATGATACTAAAGACGGATGCACAGTATGAGCACAACGGCAAACTGCTGTACATGTGCGCCAGTCGGCAGCCGTATGAAGTACAGTTGAT